ATCCTATGCCGTGACCACACCCTAATCCCTAAACCCTAAACCTTAAACCCTAAACCCTAAACCTTAGATCCCGGTTCAGATGGGTGATCGGGGCCATATTCCCGTCCCCCAGGGTCCAAGAACAAATCAACAAGGTACACATCGACATGGTTTCCGTCATGATGGGCCTTAAATGGAACGGGCAGGGAGCCTTCCACGAGTGGGAGATTCGTCGGCGTAGGCTGGCGAGGGCTGTCTTGTTTGGGATGAAGCAGGCCAAGATTTTCAGGTGGAGCGAGGTCCACGTCGAGCAGTTTTGGTCTTATCTAGGCCACAGGGTGAGGGATGGTTGGTCTGCTTCTCCGTCGGCGGCTGGCCTGTTTAGTCATCACAGGACGCTTGAATGGTGGACGGAGCAACAACTTCGTGGAAGTCAGACGGGCAGAAGGCACGGCAGGAGACATTTCCCACAGCTCATGAATCATGAAAGGGCTATTAATTCGGTATGCAGTGTGGAGCTTGCGGAGGGTGAGGATTGGAGAGTGGCTACTTTAGACCGTGGAAAGTGGAAACGCTTGGGCAGTATTTTCAAGGAGAAGTTCTCTGTCCCTTGGGCTTCGGGGCGACAGTTGAGTCTTACTATGTGAGCTGGGGTCTTTGGATAGGGCTGGGTGACGTTGCTTGCTGGAGTTCATGCTTTCAGCTTGTGCCGGAGTTGCTCTTTCCAGCTTGGGCCCCATCGAACCGAAGTGTCGACTCGCCATGGGCCTGTGGACGACCTTTGGGGTCGGCCTTGTGCCGACTGCCTCTTTCATACTCGCAGCAAGGGCCGTTTTGGTGACCTTGACCGAATTCAACGTGCACGTCTTCGTCCCTGCAACGCCGCATACGCCGGCGATGCTTCATGGCGACCTTGGCTGTGATGCCCCTCCGGAACCTCTGCTAAGTTGGTCTCTCGGCAACGGGGCGCAGAACATTACTCCCTGGCTTCGGAAGCGGGCCCCCGTCGCCTCGACAAGCTGCTCGCCTCGACTGGTTGGCAGGGCTCCGCACCGAGGACAATACAGCTGGGGCAGGGACCGTGGTCGCCAGCAGAGACCAGGTAGTTTGCTTCTTAAGACGGCGGACAGACAAGCCGCCTACCTGGCCTTTCCAGCAACAGGCCTTCACTTCTTTCTGGCTGTTGAGTTCCCCTTCCCACTTCGCCGCGGCCGCAACAAGGAGCACTTGGCGGACCTTCCTTCGGACTTGGTGGACTCCCTGGGCTTCCTGGAGGAGTTCGATGTCGACACCGAGAGGGACGGCGTGACGGAGCACATGGACGACCTGCTCGAGAACCCCGCCATTAAGAGCTTCGCGGAGAGGGGCGACAGGCAGGAGCACGTGGACCACCGGCTCGCGAACTTCGCCGAGAAAAGCTTTGCGGGGAGAGGGGGCATGCCCCCTTCACGAACCATGCGGGCAGCTGGGACCAAGATCTTGTGGATGTCTCGGACGCCGTTGGGGAGGGCAATGAGGACAAGGCCGTCACTGAGGAGCATGACAGCGACTTCTTCCAGAACCTGGTCGAGTTGAACATTGCGGAGGGCGAGGACAGGTGGGAGCACGAGGGCAACCTGATTGAAAATCCTGAGGCCTTCCCCAACCCCGATGAGGAGACCATGGAGGAGGGCGACGAAATCGGGCTAGTGCAGAAGCAATGGGAAGACAAGGAAGGACGGAGGGACAGAAAGAGGTCAAGATCGCGAGACAACAACAAGCGAGACAGGCGCCAGGACTCGCGGTCAAGAGGGGAACCGTCGTCGTCGTCAAGAGGAGGCCGTTCCCTTCCCTTCGTGCCGGCTCCACCCTGGACGCACGGCCACTGGTGCATCCAATATTCGGAGTCGCGCGTTCGAGTGCCGGCGAGGCCATCCCGCACTTCTGCGGAGCCTGTCACTGTCGAGAACGACACCGATAGACGAGGAGGAGGAGACGAAGATGTTCAGTTTGTCCCGCCACAAGAACCGGCAGCTGGACCTCCGAGAACGCGCAGCGACCCCCCATGGCCGAGAGCCACGGCAGTGGACCAAACAGCGAGTTCTCTGCACTACCTGCGCCTGTGGCGGAGACTCCTGGATAATGCAGCCACACCTGAAGAATGGAAGGGAGAAGTCAGGGTCCTGAGCAATGAGGTCCACGGACATATCCTGGACGGGCTGCTCAACCTCAGTGATAGTGATCTGTTGGAGGCCATGAATGGGCTGTACCGTATGCTGGCCCTGATGATGGCGGAGATTGTCAATACGGTGGAGAGAGCGCGCCGCGTCAGGGACCATAGAGGTGGGGACGACACAGCTATGTTCCACATGAAGGCACTGAAGGTGAAGAAGCGTCTTCCAGGGTGTTCCCGGCCAGCGATGTGTTCTACCAGCCGCCCGGAAGAATGACCTCTACCGATTGGTTCTACAGTCACCGCCTCTTCGACCTCAAGTCCGATCTGGAAGCGTCCACCCCCTTGTCGGCTCATACCAAAGCGGTGGTCCTAGGCAAAAAGCTGTTCGCCTACCGCGCCAAACCTCCACATCAGGAGGGCCTCGGGCTCAGTCGGATGGACCGCCTGGGGGCATTGCTGGCAGCCTTCGAACTTCATGAGGTCGAGGCTGAAGTGACGCCGGAAATCCTGACATGTCCCAATGCGGGTTTTCCTGCAGGCTGGAGGTGAACCCGAACGGCACGGTCATCTGCGATGGACCTGTACCGAGACAACACCAACCCAGTCCCCCGCCCCTGAGCAACTCGGACTTGATGTACATCGCCGACTCTCTGGGGGAGCAAAACCGCACCGGCGAGCCCAGCTCCAGCAGCGTCGGGTCACTTGCTCCCCGTTCGGTGGCAACTGTGACGGGGCCTTTGGCAGCTACCTTGCCTGCTCCCAGACCGGAACAGAGAGAGACGGACACCATTGAGATGATGCTGGAGGAGGAGTACCTGCTGCAGAGGGAAAGGGAGCGGGAGAGGGACCTCAAGAGAAAAAGGGCCATGGAAGAGGTGGAGAAGCATGAGAAGGCAATTCGAGAAGAAGAGGAAAGGGAGGCGGAGGATGATGAGGCCCGATGGCAGCAGCACCTGGCTGCCGTCAGCCAAGGAGAGGAGGATGAGGTCATGAGGCAGGCGCTTCAGCAACCAGGTAAGCAGAAGAAAGTGGGCGTGCGGGTGACCCTCGTGGGGAAAAATGGGGCAGTTCTTCTCAGCCGTGACCAGTCTGTGGTGGTTCGGGGGCAACCGTCCGGGCCCAGCTGGAGTTCCTTCCGGAGGAGGCGGCGGACAACGAGGTGAACGAGCCTGTGAACGAGGATGACGTGGCCGAGGAGCAGATCCTACAAGAGAGCCAAGACGAGGACATCCTGGAAATGGCGGCGGAGGAGTTCCTGGAGTCGTTGCAATGGCGTCCAGACAGACTGTGGAAAAGCTGGTTTGTCCTGTGGAAGGCAGGGCAGGTGCGAGATGCCGAAGTGGAAGCCAGGTGGGGCGTCGATGGCTTGTTGCAGTTCCAGGCGGAGCTGGCTGCGAGCATGGTTGCTATGAGAGCCAGCCAACAAGCTGACACGCAGATGGAACTGAACGCGGGTGCGGGGTGCCTCGCCGAGACGCAGATGGAGCTGAACGCGGAGGAGGGCGACCTCGAGGAGATCACACAAGTTGACCACGCAGAGGCTTCTGTTGGAGGGCAAGGCGATTCATCTCTGTTGGAGGAGACGCTCGTGAGTGGTGACCTTGTTGAGCCAGCAGCTGCGGTGGCTGGTGCAGCGGATGGGGCGGCCAGTACACCGTGACCTTCGGCTCGTTTCTCCGCAAGCTGCTCTTCTTCCTGCAGGGCATTCTGAGAGGGCAGGCTAGGAGGGCCGCTGTCTGAGTTCCTGGCAATTTGCGAGGATCCAGTTTGGGTTTTGTTGGGAGTGCTGCTGGGGTGCGTAAAGTTTCGCTCCGGTGGTGCTCATGGGATCTCGCTGTAAAGCGCTTCTGCCTGATTGCTGGGTGGAAAAAGGTCCGAGAAAAAAAAAACCTTACACCCCCAAACTATTTTTCCCAAGGCGGCGACGCCCAGCCCCAATCGGGCTCCCAGGTGGCGGACCCGTGGGTGCTCCAGCGGGCAGGTGGGGATGGGGCCTGGGAGGTTTAGGGTTTAGG